CGTGGTGCCGTCCAAGAAATTAAAAAAAAAAAAAAACTAGGGCGCACGATAACTTCTTTCACATGAAAAGCGTCTCATACTTGTTCTATCCTTATAATGAAGAAAGTTTTATTTATTCGTGTCAAGTAGCTATTAGAATCAGAAAAGAAAATTATACTATTTACACATGTTCCGTGCCTTTTTATATCCTGTCGAGACAGGAGGGGAGGGGTCAATTGAGAAAGAGAGAGAGAGAAAAAAAAGAAACAGCGAAACCCGAGGACAAACATTAAATAAAATATAGAAAATCTAGGAGAAGAAGCAAGACCGACACGGCGTAATTATAAAGGGGCAGCATTTCAACAGAGTAGGGCAGAGGTAGATGAGGAATGTCATCATTGTCAACAATACCTCCCCCGCACCCACACTTCCCCAAGTGGGCAGGGAGCCGCCGTTTTTGTATTTCACCTTTCCGTGTGGTCCGCTGGCGGCTCGTTCCTCTTTGAAGTGTCTAAGCCCTTAAGCGCTTAAGCCCTCCCCATTAACTTGTCATACAAGAGGAACTAGCCGCCAGCGGACCACACGGAAAGGTGAAATACAAAAACGGCGGCTCCCTGCCCACTTGGGGAAGTGTGGGTGCGGGGAAGGTATTGTTGACAATGATGACATTCCTCATCTACCTCTGCCCTACTCTGTTGAAATGCTGCCCCTTTCTAATTACGCCGTGTCGGTCTTGCTTCTTCTCCTAGATTTTCTATATTTTATTTAATGTTTGTCCTCGGGTTTCGCTGTTTCTTTTTTTTTCTCTCTCTCTTTCTCTCTCTCTTTCTCAATTGACCCCTCCCCTCCTGTCTCGACAGGATATAAAAAGGCACGGAACATGTGTAAATAGTATTATGCCTTGAAAAAGACAGGGTTCCTGTCAAAACGTCGGCACAATAAACAGTTGTTATTTGAAAGCGCATCTACTTTCATATTTATAACCTTGCGGCAACCGAAGTTATTCTTCTGCACATATATATATATATATATATATATATATATATATATATATATATATATATATATATATATATATATATGCATGGATAGATGATGCTATGAGCGAAACTGACGCTAGAGATAATGTCGCTATCTGGCGTCGTGTTAACGCATCGACTAAATAGCTCTTTTCATGTTGGAAATACGCCGAATGGGATGGACGCGTCGAACTTTAATCGTAGACGTCACGGTCATCAATCGTGCACTACTTCACTTTACCAAGAGCGCTGTGAAAGAACAGTGTTAGATATACAAAGCGCGTTTATAAATTTTTTCAGGGCACGTAGCCGTGGCGCAGTGGGCAGCGCACCCAAGCTATGCTGTTGCCGACTGAAAGGCCGTGGGTTTGACTCCCAAAGACGGAACTTTTTTTGCTTTCTGATAGGGCGTTTTTTTTTCAACGCCATTCCCGTGACGGAAATACGTCACTGAAGTATTGATAAACTGTGACATAGAGCACTTTTCATTTTAAAGGAATGAATACTGGGCCGCCATAACGAGTGCTCAGGTTCAAACACCGTTCCATTCGAGGTATTTTATCTTTCTTAAGGAGCTTCTCGGCAAGCTTCTTATGCTTGCGGCCCCGCGGTCTGTACACCAGTGTTGCCATTGTACACTTCTCCGGTTGCTTATCCGGCTAATCTAAGCATGCTCACTAGATGACGCGCCGCCGCTCAAGGCGTCGGTTTTCGATGACCCGCCATGACAACGAACGGCACCGGTAGCGAACTATGCTCCCGGTGTGGGGTGCGTCTCGGCACTTTTGTGGAAATGGGGAATGTGAGGTAGTGGAGAGAGGGAACTAGCATGAGAGAGATTTCGCGGCAATTGTACTACTGCCAATTCTTTTCAGTTATATAAGTAAAAAAAAAAGCATGCATCTTCCAGATATCACCAAAAAATCACTTGACATTTTCATTTCTTTAGTATTATCTTTCTTGCATGACATTCTAGGCGTCCTTATTTTCTTTTTTCTACATAATGAATCGAGCCACTTATCTGACGCTTCAGGTATGATTCACCATGATTTTTGCTAAAAATATCTGAAAATTTTTTTCCCTTTCACTGAGTTGTTAGAAATTTCTTGCGTCTTGTTTACGTATAATCAAGTATGCCTCATACATAGCCTCTTGATCTTCCTCTGCTATGTACATCTGTACCTTGAGGATAAAATAAATGAAATTAAATATTTGCTCTTCCAGTCTGGATTAGCAGTCATCCTCCGATGGACTCGCATGCAGTTTGGGGTCCGGCCAAGAATCAGGTGAGATAAAATAATTATTCCCATATAAACTGATTTACTACGACTAATGAGAAAACGCTTCCCTCCTTTTACATAGAAAGCGCCCATTGGCACTAGCAATCACGCATACCAACCAACGCCGATTTTGGCAATCCATTAGCGCGGTTGATCCTGCGGGGTGTGGTAGTTTGCTGGTAGCATCGTCACATCTGGGTCAGGCCCACATATGATGTCTCCCCATAGACAGCTATGTAGACAGCCATGCAAACAGAAGCCACCTCAAGCCCCATATCTTACAAAGCCGGCAAAATGGCACCATGTAGGCAGCACAGAAACTAGAGTAATGCAGGCTGCTTCACTGTCTAAACATGACGACAGCCGAGTAGGAGACTTGAAAGCTCCGAGAAGGTGGCCGGCTTGCAAGAAGACACGACCGTGGTTTATCATGCACCTAATGCAAGCCATGTAGAATTTTTTAAAACATCTGAATATGACAAAAATCTGAAACACTTTTGCCTGTATCTTGATGCTGCTAGGTGGCATCGCCATGTGCAGAGGTCTTCTAGGTGTTTTCCATTTCTTGAACAACTTGGACTCAATGGTGCCTAGAATTGGGGGCATAGCCTAATTGTAGCTCAGGACAGTGGAGCCAAGCAATGCAAGCAGGCCTCTCCGAATGCCCCGCGGCAATTTTGTGGCCAGGTAATCATAACCGCTGGAATGAGTAAGATCGCCCATGACATTTGAAACTCATGGATAGATTAAATCTTGCATGATATGGTAAAGAATCTTGCAATGGAGAGAATCATGCTAGGTCTTGCTGGGCATGTCCACATTTATGTTGCCTACCTATACGTCTTGCTGTGTATAAGATTTCTGGCAGCCTGCCTAGCGAGAAATCCAGACCCCTATGCATTAGAATAGCCTTGTCACACGTAGCTTCCACAACATTCTTGAGCAGTAACGTGAAATATCGTTGTGCTGGATGTGTTGAGAAGGCATGTTAACCAGTTTGGCCGTGTGGACTGCCACAAGGCCTTCGAAGTGCTCCAAAAGGATCTGGTTCTCAAAGGTGCAAGTGAAATGCCTGTACGCACCTGTGACTTACACTGGTCATGCAACCATCTGCAGCTGGTGACCAAAAAGGCCACCCATGTTTGGAGCGGCGTGCGACTTTTATTCGTAACCACACACAATAAACGTCTAGGTACTAGCACACATGGCTCGCATTCCCATCGCCCCGTAAAGTAAGCAGACTTCCTGTTATTGTGCACGTGAATAGTTCAGAGGTTTGCAACTGCAGCCACGCAACTGAAAAATCAATCAGTGTCCATTTGTAACCAACCTGTTCAAATGGACACCGAAGTGTCCATTTGTAACCAACCTGTTCACAGAACTGGTACGAGAGTCACAGGTGTGAGCTAGCCTCTACACGTTTCCCGGCTTTTTTTTGTGTGTGTGTATGGTCACACAAAAATGTGTTGGGGGTGTTCTGTGCAACATAAGATTACACTGGGGGTAGCTACGTTGGCTTTTATGTGAGCAGACATGGAGTCCCTTGGAAACAATACCATCTGTGTGCACTGAAGACGCTAAGGCCACGATGTCTGGGTACCTGCCGATTGAGACGGGCAGAGCAAGGAGCTGTGACATCGGATTAGCGTTGGTGCCCCTCGCGTTTAGCGTGTTCACCCTTTGTGTGGCTGCTGAACAGAAGAAAGCGGGGGAAGCACAAAAGAACGCAGGGTCTGAGCGACTGCTTGTTCTTACCTGCACCGATTCTCTCTAATGCAGTAAAAAGTCGCAGCGACACCCATGTCTGGGTTACGGCCGCTCGATGTCTCAGCCAAAGGCCGTGACCTAGACATGGGTCGTGTTTGGGCACACAGTGCTGAGAAGCCGTCTGTGACGTCACATGAACATTATGCATTGCAGCTGAAGTAGCAATATTTCATCTGACAGATTGTAAACACTAGACACATTTGGCAAAATCGGAGTCTATGCAAATCGATTACAGGTAACGCTGGTGATGCGGCGGCTTAGTTTTCTCCAGCAACCTGCTGCGAGGTGGCCCAAGGTGTTGCCTGCATGATCTTTCAGACACACGTCTGTCATAAAGTACTGCGAAAGTGCCGTCCCAACTCACCATCACGTTATCTCGATATGAACGCTTGTTGAAGCAGAGGAAGGCCGAAATGGCGACCAACGAAAAGCGTGGGTGGCCAGCGATAAGATGCAAGCGCAGCGCAGACAGCAATGCAGCATGGCCCACGTCTCGCATAACTTTAATTTGGCCACATGAAGCATCTCGTACATTTCACCCAAAGGCACGTGTTTGTATTCTGCCATTAGTATCTTGGAAAACGAGAGGCATATAGTGCAACTGTGAGCGCACTGCAGAGCGAGAAGTTGCAGGTTTGAACCTCCGCTCACGTGTTTCAAAAATTTTTCTTCGAAATTTTTTTGTGGCTTTTATATGTATACACAAGCACACGTGCACGCACACACACATGCGACGTGACGGCAATGGTAAAATTCCAGCCAGAGTGTCTATATACTTGCTATCTAAATAAAAGTGAAATGGGGTAATCGCAAGGTCTACAAGGACTAATGTAGCCTCAAGTATTTATACTATGAGTAGCTGGTACAAAAGATGCGAGAGAAAGTTCTTTCTGTGTACCTTTAGATTGCCAAACTTTTCACCCTTGTCTTCAGTACAGCAGAGTGGTGCGAAAAGTACTGTTTTTGCAAAAGTATTTATTGGAACAATATTAATACGCATGACAGTGCCTGCAATGTCAAGGAATAAAAACACTAGGTAAAAAAGAAGTAATGATACATTAGAAAAGAAATTATTTGTTCACTTGTTGAATACAGTTGTGTAGCACAAAGGCGGCTAATGTAGGAGAGACTCGTCTCAATTAAAAAAAAAGGCATATATTACAGTAGAGGTTAATTTTTTTTCTTTTACAATATATACAATAAATGCTTATGACTGTACAGCAATTCTGGCTGTCGATTAACATAAAAAAGAAAGAAAAAAAAAAAGGCCGGTGAATAGAGACAATGCTGCCTGGTTGAACTCGCTTCTCCGGAAGCTTCCAGTTCTCACTCGAGACGATGGGCATCCACGTCCAGACTGTGCCGAAGCAGTCCAGAAAGGATGAATTCCGCGGCAACCACTGGAACGCCGTTGTTTCTTGCTCGTGCGCAGGCTTTGAGGTCTTGTTGGCACGAAATCACTACAGTAGTGCCGGCTGATGTGCGGGCCGGGAAGTTGTCCAAGTACTGGATAGGAAAAAAAACATGGGCGAGAAATATTTATATAAAAAGGAACCATCGAAAGGCATTTCTTAACCATTATTATGCAAAGCACAGAAAGATGAGTATCAGCCACAGTGGCTTAACGGCTGCTAAGCACGAGGACTTGGCTTGGATTACCAGCCACATTGGTTGTGTTCTGGTTGGGATGAAAGCCACATGAACATACACAAAGCTAGAAGTACGAAGATCCATGTACTACCCAACATTTCCAAGCTCGCTGAAGTGCAGTGCACTGCAGCACCCATAGACACTAGCGCCAGGGTTCCTTCTAGTGTATATTTAGGAAACTCTTAAGCTGGGAACCATTACACCAATCATGCCATTAGACAACTATGTATGGTATATACATTAGAAAAATTAGCATAATAAAGGAGTGCCAAGAAGCGATACCTAACAAGCAATGCATTTATTTAACACTGCTGCACACAAGAAAAAGATGTGGAAAACAACATGACTGGCAGAGTGGTGGCCTCCCAGCTCTCTCTTCCATCTGAAAAATTCACTTGCACATCAAATGGTAAGAAGCGAAATGTATCTGTACTGTCGCAAGCACATTTCAAAAGCTAATCACACAGACAACTGCCGAGCTCTTGTCATTGACAAGCAAGAATGACGCAGTGTTAATACATTCAGACTCTCGCATTGCTGTGGGCCTCTTGCCAATGAATGTTCATTTCTCCTGTACGTGCATCATTACCTTGTGCATTCGTAACCCTGTACTTCACGACGATAGTTATAGCGCGAGAACAAAACGACGACACAGAGACAAGAAGGACACGAAAGACACGAGCGCTAACTTCCAACTGAGTTTATTGCACAGAGCACGAAAATATATAGAGGAGACAGTGACCATGGCACAAGAGCAGAACATGAGTAAGAAAACCAAAAACAAACAACACAAATACAAAGGCACTGAAAAACAGCAAAGAAAAGCCTAGAAGAAACCGAACCAGAAAGGTAAAGCTACCTGCCCGCACCGAATCCTTCGAGAAACCTGCGTTCCTTCTCGGACTAAGCCACGGAGGGCTTGCTAATCCAAGGCACCTGTTCGCGTTACCTGCCCGCACCGAATCCTTCGAGGAACCTGCGTGTCCTTCTTGTCTCTGTGTCGTCGTTTTGTTCTCGCGCTATAACTATCGTCATGCCATACCAACTAGCCCAAGCTGCCACACTTCTGTACTTTAGCAGGGGTTCTCAATCTGGCCTTGAGGGGGGATGCTACACCTTCCAAAAACTCTTTTATTTTTGCGAGTACCTCAGTCAAATTTGGAGAGCCTATGTAGATTTTACTGCTGATTTCAAAAATCTAATTCTTTTTTTGCTGTGACAATTAGTTTTAAAGATATAATGAACTGCGACTTTTTCAATTAAGGCCTAATTAGCTAATTAACTGCAACTTGGATATTGATGTGCAACCTATAGAACCAATTCGGTATGTTCACAGTGTGCAATGAAGTATAAATCATTGTTCTGGGCTATTTCGAAGCAAAGTTGCGGGATGTTGAATATGACATGAAAAATTTCCCCATCTACACTTGAAACAAAAGATCCATTTAGAGAATTTTCTCCAAAAATTATTACAATAAAACTTACTTTACGACACATCCCCTGCATTTATCTTCGAAACAAAAAAGAAATCGTAATGATAACCCAGATAGAACAAGAGATATTGCTCCGGCATAATGGGAAGCACATGAAAATTGTCGTTTTGAGAAATCGAGAAAAAACGTGGGCACACATTTTTATTGCAGAAGATGCAACAAGACAACCTCAAAACGCACCAGAAGCATAGTCTGAATGCATTCTGTGCTCATGCCTCCTCTTCACTAGCTTCCGGAGTTCCAATGAGGCTGTTCTTTTCTTGTTGGAGACAATGCTGCGACGGTGGTCTTTTTCTCTCGCTCTCCTGGCACCAGTACTTGTCGCATTCATGTCCATTTCACCTAAGATTGCCGTTGCAGAATTCAAATTGCCCGTGTTGAAGCGCAGCACTGCTTCTGCAACAGCTGCTTCAACAGCGAACAGGGACGCATGGTGCTCCTTGCGGGCCAAACTCCAGATTACCGAATGTAGGCTCTCGTTGGAGTTCTGCGTTTTGCCGCGTTCGCACCTCTGAAGCAGGGCTCTTTCCGAAAGCCGGGTATAAACCGGTAGTAATGCCTCTGCCACGTCTTTCGGTAGATTGTAGGCATGCCTGGGGTCGGGCTCACCCTTTGCTTTTGCGGCATTGTGCCGACACCATGAAGTTTCACCAGCTGGGCACAGACTGTGGTCCGAGCATTCATCAGTGGAGGTGACGTGGCGGTATGTGGCCATCACAGCCTTTTGCATCTCGCCCACGTCACCTTCATGCGATTTCAGAGCCCGGCCATAATATGTGCTCAGCCTGGTGATCAGCTCACCTGTGAGCCTGCCTTTCCCACCAAGGCCTCTTTTCCCATCGCACTTTTGTTTCTGCACCAGGTTTCTCAATGCGGTGCCCATCCGTTTCTGTACATGATTAATACAGTCTTCCTTCTGCACGTCAATGTAACCATACACCTTAGCGTCTTGTATGGCGCAAAATGTCCTAGAGTCTCCATCAGACAGCATAGTTGTGTAGCGCAGGCCATGGCGTTCAAGCGACCTCTGAAATAGAATTAGAGCCGCCTCCACTTCCATTTGCCCCGCTTTGCTGTTCGTATTTTTTTGGCATTTGTGGTTAGCCTTCCATTCTTGATAGCCCTCACTACTAGGCTTTGGGCCCACCTCGCAGCCTAGGCAAAAGTTGGAAAGAACGACGTAGTCTAACACGTAGCCACTAAATAATTCGATAACTGTGCCCACGCCGATGTGGGAAGAATGGCCTCGCGTCTTCCACGTGCCGTCGTAGCTAACGGCAATATTGCCCCGGTGGCCGAAGCACAAGTCATCATAAATTGTTCTAACCTTTTCCGCACATTCGCTCATAGCGGACTCAGCCGCTCGCGTTGCAGCGGGTGCCAGCGTGTTCTTCAAATGCCGCTGAAACGTCTTGTGGTGCATACCGCGGTGTGAGATGCCCATTGTTGCGAAAATATCGTTCATTTTCGTTTGGCCGTTGCCGGTAGCCACCATCGCCCTCGAAGCGAGAAGATTTACTTCAAACGGATTGCACGTTTTCGTGCCGTTCGCGCGGGGCGAAGTCCATTCATTCGCGATCTCGCCGCACCTTTCACACTGCACTAGCACTTTCACGGCAAGTCCGTAGTCCCGATCCCCTCTGACGATCGTAGCCGGTCCGTGGCAGGCTTTGCAACACAAGGCACCCATTATCGCGTTTAGGATATCTAGATGCATAAGCAGATAAGGAGCAGCGTGGTCCGAGTCCTGTGCGGTTGCCTCGCTACAACTCGCGGTGAAAAAGTCAATTTTCCGTGCAGTTGCTGGCGCCGATGAAAGCCGGTCGAGCCTCGCTTTCTCCCGGGCATGATTTTCTTCAACTTCGGCGTTTGTCACCACCTTGGCGTCGATTCGTAGTCGTTCGGAGTTCGCTTCACCGTCATCGTCGTCGGAGGCAACGCGCTCGGTCGCACCATCGCTGAACGGCCGCGGAGCGTCGACACATCGTTCGTCGGAGTCAACCAAGGGCTCTGATGACTTCGTAGACTTTCTTCCACGACCTTTGCGTTTCCTGCGACCAAATGCGTGCACGGTCCGATACTTTTTTGCGTTTCCAGGCATGGCGATACGATCAGAAGCTTCAGAGTGCTCTGCCGATTTCGAGGCGTCACAGCGGTAACCCTTTCAAAATGGCGTCGGGTCGCGTATGCAGGCGCAAGCCGCGAGCTTCCAGCCAACCGGAAAGCGCCATTTCAGTCACGTGCGCTGTTTAGCCAATGGCAGTGAGCGCGGCTCTTCGTCTTTGAGGCCCCGTTTTTCGAGCCGGGGAAACGCTCAATGTTGCTTACTGAATTAAAAAAAAAAACAGCTGAAAACGCGTTCTTTCAAACAAGACCAAAATGGCGCCGATCGAGCGCGTAGTTCCCGCGTATCGTGGAGCCGAAACCTGCGCTATTCGCCCTCAATTTAAAGGGCAGGACGCCCGTTTTCGGTTTTTTAAAGTTGAATAACGATAAAAGTTGATGGTATTCGGCTATGAAATTTTGTAAATAGGTGCGCAATGATGTCGGGAACGCGAAAAGAAGGTCCGCGAAAACTCGATTTTTTGGCTGATTTTCGGTCCCGAAGTGCCGCGTCCCCCCTTAACGGCCTCTCAAGAGTGCTACGGAACCACCATCTCCCCTCTTTACGCTGGTGTACCTTTAGCACACAAAAAAAGTACGAATCATATCTCGTGTATGGGTGCCCTTGTTACCAACCACACTAGCGAGCATTAATTTCTGGTGCTCTGTGTGTGCCGTCACCACTGGTCCATCAACTTAGAAATTTCATGGTGTGCATAATGCGCAAGAGTTAACTGCCACCACCATGTAGTTCGCTCGCTGCTTGCAGATGTGTGGATGCAGATGTGTGGATGTGTGGCCTTGTCAAATACAAAATTCAACGCAAGTTTCCTGGCTTTGATCAGTTAACAAGGGGTTAATGGAGGTAAAAAAGAAGTGAATAATGCTCGTTCAGACTTCTCACTGCTCCCTACAACGACTTGCATACAAACTCCATGTTCTTCAAAGCCCCATCTGAGAGCCTGGTGCATTAAAGCACTAGTGCAGTCCTTTAAGCTCAGCATCCAAATGTGGCACGAGCGAACACAAAGCCATTACCAGTGTAACCGACTTTATATTTAGTACTCCTGAAAAAAGAAAGAGAAAGACGAAGGCTCACCTTGCCACCAGCACAAGCCACAATTTCTGAAAGAGAAATGAAACGCACGTTTAGATTGGGTCAACCACACTACCGGAAGGGCAATGTTTACGTCGACAAGCTAGGTTGATCGCAGAAAACAAGGTCGCTCTACTGTCACGCAGTTGTCACGCTTGCTAATGTCATTACGAACATTTACACAGCTTAAAATTTAGCAGTGCCAGCATTAACCATGAGCGTGTGCCGCAGGTTTAAGAAAGGGGTTTAAAACACGGGGCTCGTGAACCTTTCACTAGTGGCCCAGCCTGGCATGTAACTGTATTAGTCTTCAATTTTATTTTCTTAAGTATGTGCATAAGCAATACAGATGCACATAACATTCTTTTGTTTTTTGTAAGGCTCCTCATGTGACCACCATGTGTAAAAACAAAACCGTGGATCTACTTTTTTTTTAGAATCGACGTCTAGAGTTTGGTCACTATCAGTATCGATATGCTTGATGAATCCAGACATCGAATCCCCATCTGAAATGACCCATATGTAAAATATTAGAAAGGCTTTCTTTCAAACCGCAATGTTAGCTGACAATGTCCTGCAGGAATGGTATTGCATAGTCCGAATGTTCTCGCTGTAAAAATGTTGTAAAGGACAATGAACTTGCAACTATGCTGCTTCAGAAAGTTAACACTCTCAGTAAATAGTGTACAATTAATTACTTCAGCAATAATTGCATGTACACAATGTGTACAGTGAATGTCTGTGCTGACAGATGCACCAATTCGAATGCTCACATTTACCAAACGCTCACTTTAACGAGGGATCAGACTCTGAAAGCAAATGCTTACGTTTACCAGACACCTGTGTTATCAAATTCTCACAGTTAATAATAAAAAAGAAGACGAAGAACGCTTCCATCTACCAAATACTCACACTCATGGAAATGAATGCTCATGCTTACAAGGTTTTCAAAGGTGCACGCCTCTGGCAATTGAATAAACGCGAGGGAACAGGAAGCAAAAACATTTGTGGGCTACCCAGTTCAAGCCATTTCTTGTGAAATTCTACATGTCTGTATGCATATGTTTGTATACAGTCGCCGACCGATTTTCCGGACTCCAAAAATTCGGACTTGTTGGATATTCCGGACTTCATAAATGCACCGTCAGGGATCCCATAGAGCTAATGCATTGTTTCGACCGATTTTTCGGGCGAATTTGCCCCTGAAAGTTCGATTTTTCGGACTAAATCGCTCGTTTTGTGCCACGCCCCAAGTCATTGTGAACGCCGCCATGTTGGATTTTCCGTCGGCTTGGCTAAGCTTGGTCTTCAAATGCCTTTCCTGCCTCCGAGATTGGAATGCGCACGCCATATTTTAAGTTTCGGAGGCCGTGTTTGCTTTTTTAAAGACGCGGTGATGGATGCCGTTTTTTCGTCTTCGGTCAGCGCTATCGTCATCACATCGCACGGGGAGGAGGCGAAACACGGAGGAACCTTTTCCTTCCTCCGTGAGGCGAAAGAAGGATTCTTTTATTGTCGTTGCAGCTTTTTTCAGTCGCCATTCTGCACGTGTTGTGTCGCGTAGCGCCGAGACGTTGTGTGCTTCGCAGCGGCTATCTGCGGCATTGAATTTTGTGTTCTCGGTGCCATGGCTCCGCTATTTGTGCCATCGCGGGAGCCAGGTGGTGTGAAGAAGCGTGGGAAGTATACGACCCTGACGATGGGGAAGAAAGCTGCCATAATCAAGCTAATAGAGAGTGGACGTTCGCAGCTAGATGTCGCTGGATGACGGTCGACGCCGGATGGCGGTCGTCGTTGTCGTCGGATGACAACGACGACCGCCCGCAGCCGTCGGAGATCGCCAACGCGGTGACAATTTTGTCGAGCGTTTACGGCGACGATGTCACCTTGGCGCAAATACGGGCAAACCAAATTGCCTCCAAGCGTAGTTTGAGGCAAGGCAGCATCAAGGACTTTTTTAAACCTGCCTGATGCAATAAACTTCAGATTTTTGGCAAAAACGAATTTTTCGGACTGTTCGATTTTTCGTACTTTTTTTCGGTCCCCGCCAGGTCCGAAAAATCGGTCGGCGACTGTAAACCGATTAAATACACACCATGGAATTCAAGGGGATACTACAAACACTCACCCTTCATGTCATTAGGGGACGGCAAGACATGTGCAGTGGCATGGACGGTCCAACCTCGCAGTACACCGCCCGTCGACGCCTTTGTCAACGTATCCCTCAGGTTGAAGTTCAGGGCTTTCTCTGCCTTCTTGTCAAGGAGCATGTGAGGTACGTGGTCTGCCAAGCAAAAAGGAGTCGATTTGTGTGCCATGATTATGCCATTCCAGCTGTTGCACTTTCGCTGGCTAAAGAAAATCTGCAGCAATTTCAAACTGCTACAGTGTGTGAACAAAAGAAGCGGAACTTTTCTTGCGAGGCTCGTTACTTTGTTAGACACAACCAAATGAATCCAACAGACAAAAAAATTTTATTAAAGATGAATTTGTGAGGCAATAAGCTTCTTCAGTGAATCCATTCCATGGCTGCTTGAAAAAGTGCTGAAGGGCCCCTTTAAGTCTCACTAGCTTTCATAGCTTCGCACCAAATGTGTGAAACTGAGTTTTCTATTAAAAGGCAACCATACTGAAATGTTCCGTTTTTAACCTTACGGCACCAGACTAGCACAAATTCTCTCGAATAAAAGTCCAGCAAGAGGGAATGTTGCGACTGACCGACAAAGGCACCAGCCTCCCGGCACTTCTTGATCCACGAAACATCGACGATCGGAGTGCCCTTGCCGATGCAGCAAAGTGCCTTGACTGTTCTTCGAAACTGCGGATCATAGCAACAAGGAATCAAAACAAGGCTTAGCTTACAAAGATCTCGGTCTTCCATGAAGAATAAGTGAACAAGTCACACATAGACGATGCACTATTCCTGTAAATCACTGGCGATTGATCGTCCGCAGAATGATCTTAACTAAGCCCGAGAAAGAGAGAGAGAGAGTGACAAAAAAACTGCTACTCAGATTCACCAAAGTATCTTACAAGCAATCGCAAAACGGGAGAGAAAAAGAGTGAGCCAGTTCCATCGGTCTTCCATGAAGAATAAGTGAACAAGTCACACATAGACGATGCACTATTCCTGTAAATCACTGGCGATTGATCGTCCGCAGAATGATCTTAACTAAGCCCGAGAAAGAGAGAGAGAGAGTGACAAAAAAACTGCTACTCAGATTCACCAAAGTATCTTACAAGCAATCGCAAAACGGGAGAGAAAAAGAGTGAGCCAGTTCCAATATTAGGAATATCATCGGATAGCATAGCTGCAAAAGTGTGCTCGTATGGGATTGGCTAGCAAGAGCATGTAGTGTCACAAATCTGCAGCTAGATTTAAAGTATGTATGTTATCTAGGCATGTGCAAATATTCGAATGCTTCGAATATTTAAATGAATAGTTGAGTATTCGAATTTGCTTTGATTCGAATTTAAATCATCGAATATTTTCGAAGTATTTGCAATAAATGAATAGGTGTATAATCATCTGCATGTCACCGCCTGTAAAGGTGGTTTCACTGCAACGTAGTAGTGCTAAGCAGTGAAAGCACCTACTTAAAAAAATTCGCTTTGCTGTGAAGCCCCCCCCCCCCCCCCCCAAATTTTAAGGGGCCCTGCAACAATTCCTGAACATGGTGAGAAAACGCTGCCAGGCTACCGAAAACATGAGAGTCAAATACTGTAGCACAGCACAAGGCCTGTAATTAACAATAAATTTTCAAAGCTAAAAATTGCTTTCTTTTCTTGGCAAATGACACAGAAGCTCCAAAATCACTTGTCACAGCCAAGAAATATACGGCTCTGGTCACAGGCATTGGCTGATTTGAGCATGGTGCGCTCATCGTTACCGGGGCCGCCACTTGTCCACGAGTACGTGCGCGGTCGCACTGAAAAGCTGCGTATTCGGAGAAAAAAAAAGGTGCTTAATGTCACGAGGTGTGCGTGGAGTATTTTTTTCCGCCGTGCCATTCTTTCCTGCTTAGCTTCCAGCTATTTTCGTCGGAACGAGAAGAGAGAATGCAATTGCAGCGTGCGATAAATTTTTTGGAACTCCGCTCGTACTGGACTGATTCTAGAAACTTTGCGGCAGTAAATTTGTGAGACAACAAGCATGTTTACTTGCTCCATGGCTACTTGAAAAAGTGTTGCAGGGCCCGTTCAAAGGAACATGTTACCCTCAAATCAATTAATTTTTTTTATTAAGCTTGTTATGATGGCTTATATGATCTAAGTATATAAATTTTAAAGCATTAAGTATCTTACAAGTCATCACTCACATCCTACTGAAACTACAACTCAAGGTTGTTTCGACTTCCTTTGAACGAAAAAATAAATGGAATTTGCATAGAACCCCTACTTCAATTCAAAAGAAGTATTGTGCAGGTTAGTTGGGTCATGATAAATATTCTTTTTTTTAATATGTCATACATACCATTCAAATTCAATTCGAAACTATTCGATCAAAATCACTATTCGCTTCGAACCAAAAATTCACTATTCGCACAAGCCTTACTTTATCCCTTTCAGCAGCAATATGTACAATTGTACACATCAACTTCAGAGGACCATCAAACACTGGTTCTTAAACACAGTGTGCATATTTGTACAGCCTTCCTGAATGAACAACTAGTAGTCGCTTCACTCATCTTAACCGATCTGCATTTTGCTCCGGAGGATCACTCAGCTCGAACAACCCCCATGTTTGACAATCGTTCGACTTGATGCACTCCAGGAAACCGTCAAAAGAGTTTTTATTTGGTCAAAATGAATACAGCGAAAGAAGAAGCCGGGCATACATTTTTGGCCTAATATTTGATGATTAATTTTGTGCAAGAATTGAAGCGGACTTATTTAGGAAATATTTAAATACTTCATTACAGGTAAATCACCATTAGTTATAAAAATCCACGAATAAAAACGACATATTTCTTGGAATGTGATACTGAATGCCTTTGAATTATGCTATGCTAGTTTGATGCATTCGCAGACACTGCATCATAAATTTGCGCACGAAGGGGCTGCACTTCGTTGGGCAAAGTTTGATTACGTGAGCTGCGGGCTCGGGCAATGGCGTTTCAAAGAACCCCTTGTGTCCCGTGGCCCATAGCTGGAATCGCGCAGTGTGCACTACTGACCCTGTTATGTGCCCAGGTTCCATGCTTTGGTTAATTACAGTTAATGTGCATCTAGTTAATGTAAGTTACTGAAAGTACAAACTACTTTCACAGTATTTTGTACTAAAAGTTATAATCATTTCACCTTACTTATTTGAAGAAAATCTTCGTTATTATCATTTCATTTTGTTCGTTCACTCTCCATCTGGTCGAGTGACTTGTGCGACTACTGCTACTACTACTACTACTACTACTACTACTACTACTAAGGCGACAGCACAGGCCAAGACTGAAGACAACTACTCTGCGAAACAAAATTTGTCGTGCCAAATGGTTTCTCACCTTATCGGTGACCAAATGCGTGCACACGGAAGGATTTGTGGCGATGATCCCACCGAGGTCCCGCACCACCTGCTACACAATCGGGAAGCAAAGACAACCGCCGGAGTTCGTCTGGCACAAGTGAAAGCTGCTACACAAGGACAGTCAAAGCAAGAAACAAATGACCAGAGTCAGCTGCATTGCGCCGCGATGCAGCCAACACATGTTCCCCAGGCACCAGTGTTGTCATTGTTAGCAGCGATGGAACACAAATAATGAGCCTAATTGATGCAGGACTACACTGTTGAGGTTTACAGAAGAATCGTACCAAATTGTCAAACATCAATTGACTGATATGGTCAAGTACGGTGAGTTCTTTAAAAACAACCAGCAGCTTTAAACTACTGCTGCAGTTAAACGTGCACTTCAAGAGCCGCTGAACATTGATAAACGAACACTTATATAACGGGTCAACACATACAAGACAAATTTAAAATACTTCCCACTGATGCCAAAATGTAAAAAAAACCCGTGCTTGCCACACCGACTACAAAAAACATGACTGACCCCCTTGTCATAGGAATCGGTATAACATGAAAGTGAAATGCGTCTTCACAGAGGTAGTTGCGCATTTGTTGTGCATTGCTTCACTACAAGTTCAAAAGACTATATGCTAAGGCAACAAATTGTAATGTCACAGGAAGAACGACAAGCCACTTCAAACTTGGAGTATGTTCCTTGAGCAGAAGGGCTGCAGGAAAAGAACGCACACGGGATGAGCACGAACTAAAAGTTGTCACAGCTTGACACTTAAAGAGCCGTACTCAAATAAAAAGACTGATGCGTGGAACAAACGCACAAGTACAGTAAAACCTCATTAATTCAAACTCGGTTATTTCAAAGTCCAGCTCAATTCAAAATATCTCCACGGTCCCGTATTTTTCAATTCAAGTCTGAGCGGATAATTTGAAGTGGCGGTCAGCACCAGTCCGGATAATTCAAAAACTTTGGGTGCCATGCGCTAATTCCCGATTGCGCTACAAATCCACAAAAACGACGGCTTCAAGAGCCACAAGGCAATGCAACGTAGCGATACTAATGAGTGGCAGCTTAAGCACCCCAGCCCCATGACTTCCAGCACAAAAAAAAAAAAAAGAGAAAGTCTTGTGGTCAACCATTACATGTGCCTGCGGGAAACAAGACGTGGTTCACATCAATGCAGTGGTGAAGCATGGGCAGCATGTCACATGTTTTTCGCTACCTCAGTCAGTGTGTCATGATTTACCCATTCTTTCTGGAATTGTAAAGAAATTTAATAAAGGACAGTTTGGCGGAATTCGCAATGTGTGCGAACCTCCAATTGCCGGTGGCTCCAGCAATTTGCACACTTGCACTGCTGGCGAAGTTCTTGCCTGCTACGCCTACTTCGAAAACTAAATTCAAAAGTTTCAACATGTTTTACAGCCAAAACATATCGCGATTTTCGTCGCACTGGCCATTATTAGATTCTTTATTTTACCAGAAAGAATGGGCGAACGGTCACATCATGATAGATGACGCAGCGAGAAGCAGGCGACACGCTGCCCACGTTTCACTACTCTGTTGCAGTGAAGCACTACTTGTTTTCAGCAGGTGCACATTTCAGTTGATCCACGACAGTGTTATCTTTTTTTTTTCCCCAATGGCAGCAGCGAAGCCCGCTGTTCCTGTGTGTTTGAGGCAAAAATTAAGTCCAGGTGTTGCGGGAAAACGCAACCATTGCAGCCGCAACTAGCCGGCACAGCAAACAATCAGCACTGATTACTTCGAATAATTGCAAGTTCCCTGCCTCCCATTTTTCGTATGTTTTGTTAATTCGAAAACTCACTTAATTCGAATATTTCTCGCAGCACCAGTGACTTCGTATTAGGGAGATTTTACTGCATACATAGAACGAGCACGAACAAACTTGACAATTGATACTCGTGTTCCTAGTGTGTGAGCAGTGCGCTCCTTTTGCAAGCACAACCATTGCAACGAATGAAGCAGTGAAGTGACCTTGTTTCAGTAACTTTCACGCAGTCCTGCGGTGAAAACCCAAGACCCACAAACTCCGCCGCTATTATGAGGTAAGCGTGGGCGCAAGAGCCACCACGTCCTGTTGAGGCACGTGCGCATCACAACACTCAGGGCAGCGACTTTTATAATAAAGTGCGCCCTGTGGACCCTTTGCGCCATCTCACCAGCGATAATAAGAAAACGCTGAAGTTAACGACCTCGTTGTACTGCCAGCAGTAAGTGGTGTATACAAACAGCTCGCCGTTAGCAAGCTGAGGAACATTTGCATCGTGACCGAGTTAGTTCGTGCAAAGCGTTGTGGAGGGCGAGGTCATAGCTATGATTCCTCGCGATGGGACATATTAATATATATTTTACAACGTTATATCCACGACAAAAATATGTCAGTGGAGCCGTGGTGCCCAATGACATAAAAAACTTTCGTGTTAAAAAAAAACGTTCTAGCTCAAATGTCCTGGATATAAGCTTGCTTCAAAAAAGTGTGGCTCTTACCATGCCTTTTTTTTTGAACAGAACTGCTTACATGAACTTCACCAGATAGCATGTGTGCTCATTGTGAGAAACCGTAAGCAAGTTCACAGGCATTAAAGCTTCAGCAAGGTGGGCGTGCTAACAAACAGGAGTATATCAACATAAAAAACAACTGCTGTGTAAACATGGGTCTCATTCTTGTGGACACACTCTTTTTTATCAATGTCTCCCGGTCTCCCAGCATGGCACGAAAGCTCAAGCTAAGTTTTCTGAGGATCTGGTGAAGTAGTGGCAAAAAAAAAACAATCTCTGGCATTATTGGAGGCCCCTGTTCAAGTGAAAAATGTCATGCCAAGGACAGCTTACTACAACTAGCAATGCCATTAATGTTGAGAGCAACACACAAGCTAGTACCTTTGCCAGAATTAAACCACATGGTGTGCACAAAATGCTGTCAAAGTGGTTTCAAAATGCAACAATGAAATTGGTGGAAGGCGGACCCTTAAGAGTTATCAGCTTCGGCCACACAAGATTACTGTTCAACGGAAGTCAACGCCAATCAAAAACTCGTGAAAACGTCGCCAAGGGCACAAGTGAAAGTGCATCTCTGTAGAATAGTGGAAGCTCGCATTGCAAGCTTGCATGTCTGAACGCAAAGAGACCAATGCGATACACTAACAGCTCAAGACTGACCACATTTTCCTGCTTTTTCAGAATACCGTGTGCACTAAACTGCCTGTTAATGCAACATCATCGTCTTGACTTCGCCCACTGTAGGGCAAAGGCCTCTCCCCTGCTTATTGCAGCTATGCCATGCCCATGATCTTCTTAACCTCATCTGCTCACATAACATTATACTCCACCCTCGCGCACTTGCCTACTCTTGGAATCCAGTCTGTCAGTCTTCATGACCAGCGGTCATCTTGCTTTCACATTACGTCCCCAAAAAATGCAAAGCCCGATATTAATGCAATTTCCAAGTTTGCCACTTCGGCTACACCAGTACAGGCACAAGCGGGACCCACACTGTAGAAACTCGGTCCTTTAAATAGGTAAGAGGGAGGAATAGGTACCTCTTCAGCTTTTGTGTCATCGATTCCGGTGAACAGGACCTTTGGTTTCACTTTTGCAGTTTTCTTGGGTGCCGGAGAAGAGTGCGCCTGTTCGTCCCGCCGAGACTTGGCTTGCTGTGGTACCTCGGTCTTGGCTTCAGGCACGTCCGCTTTTCTCTTACCTCGCTTTGCTGGCGCTTTCTGCAAGCGTGAAAGATACTTAGTATAGATTAAAACTTGGGCAGTCAATCAGTTAGCACTTATAAAAACTAGCACATATTCTTGTCGGCAAAGCCTAGGACTCCAGCCAGCCAATTGACGACAACGAGAGACTGGCCACACGCAGTGAACATGCTGCGACATGCATTGCAACATTTCCCCAGCGACTGCCTCGACCCTGGCAGCTTTGATGCCTTTAGGTAGCATGTGATGGTTTGTTAGTCACCTGCCAGATCTGCGAGTGCATGAACTTCACAGTGGCATCGGGCAAGAAGGGCGCACATTTGCTGTCGTGGTTACGATTGATCCTGGCCAACTTTCAGAGGGTTACACACTTGGTCATAAATGATTTGACTGATATCTGGGGTTTAACGTCATATCATTATGAGGGACGCCGTAGTTGAGGGCTCCGAAAATTTTGACATCCTGTGGTTCTTTAACGTGCACGCAAAATCTGAGCGCAAAGGCCTACAGCATTTTTGCCTCTATCCAAAATGTAGCTGCTGCAGCTGGGATCCCGCTACCTGCGATGAACGTAAATGAGAAGATGGACGTGGAAGCAGCCCTTGCTGTACAAGAGCATCGCATTGGTGAACTGGAGACCAAATGTAAGGCTTCCACCAAAGGCAAGTTTTTGTCATTACTGTAATTTTTAACTCAATAACTACTCTATTTTAATCAAAACTAAAAATGACGCCCCTATGCTATCTTTGGCCTAGTATGGTTGTGTGACAAAGGTGGGACTGAAGCCCCTTCTCCATGTTCACAAGGCCGAAGAGGTCCCCTGCACAGACAAGTGCAGCAGACGACAGCTTCCACGACTAAAGAAATATTCCTGCTCATGAACTTGGCAATGGTCTCCATACAAAACCATGAACCCTACAGCAATAGCCGTATGGTTCAGGCTTGTGTGCCTGCCTTCGGGGAGTAAGAGTTGTATCCGACTATAGATACAAACTCAAAAAAGGCAGAAGTTAAGAGAAACACGAGCTTGAATAGATGAAAAATTTGTGAACACGAGGTGTCGCTGGAGTTGATGTCTCAACATGCGATCTTTTATGCGGCCTTGAAAAAGACATGTTGGCTCCAGCGACACCCCGTGTCCACGAATTCCTTAAAATACACACGTGATTAGAGACAAGCAGACTTTTTAAGAGATTAACAAGAGAAGCTAGGAGCAAAAGAAAGCAATGAACGCACCTCTACCACTTCCTGCTTGACAGCTGCTTCTTTAACTAGCTCCTTTCGTCGAAACTTAAGCCCAGGCTTCACCACAATCTCGTCCAACGTCTCTTGCTCATTGTCGGCAGCTTCGTCGTCAGACTCGTGCCTTGCCTCGCCGAAGCTCATTGAGGCGACCGGCCTCTTCCTGCTGACCCTTTGCATAGGACACTGTGGTGAGGTCTCTGCCAAAGTTTCGAGCACAGACGCCGAGGTGGTTTGCAAAGGGTTGTTCTTTTTGCCTGCTCGCCAGGCATCCCTTTTTCTCGTCACTGTCATGGGGAGAGCTGGCATTCTGGACGTTGGGCTTCGCGATGTTGACTCTGAGCTCTGAGCATCGGCCTCTGTCTCCACAGTGACATCTTCCATGGTTTCTAAATTTGTGACCTTGCGCTTGGACCTTGCAGAGACTTTTGAAGGGTCACCATTGTTCCATTGTTCGGTGTCCTCGGACGGGGTTTGCGCAGTATTTACACTGCTGCGTTTAGATGTTTTTGGACTTGGGGACTCCACCTTGATGAGAACTTTCGTATCCGTAGTGGGTTTGTGCAGCGAAAGATTTGTTGTCCTTGGTGCCTTTGAACTTTTCAGGTTTGCAGGTTCCGGTGCCTCAAAAGTCTTTGTTACAACGTCGTCTTCGGGAACATTCTTACTGCCACCATGATTCAGAGTCTTCTTTGCTGTTCTTTTTCCACGCCGTGGCGGTGCACTATGAGGCTCTACTTCCGCGTTGGTTTTCTCCGAGGGTTCTACTCCTTCTGCAGTTTCGAGGGTGAGGCGGACTTGCTCATTTCGGGAGGACGGTTCGACAGTGTCCCCTCCTCGCCGAGTTCTTCGGATTTCGGGTTCATAGTCTGCAGAAGTGATATTGTTTCCTCCTACGCTGGCAGAAGCTTGGCTCCCAGCTTCTGAAGACAACTTGGGGGCCTTCCGGCCGCGCCTCAATGGTTTGGCATTGTGCGTTTCCTCCTCGTTTTGAACCTCAGTCTCTTCAGGTGTGGCATTGTTCAGGGTCTCCGGTTGCTTAGCGTTTCGCCTTCCCTGCCGGGAACTCCGAGAGTTCTGCGATTGACACTCCGTGGAAAATGACTGCATGGAGTCGCCCAACGCGCTTTCAACAGGTGGCACATCATCAGTCCCCTCAGGAGTCAAGTTTCGCGTCTTGGGTTTCTTTGTATTTTGCTTACCCTGTTTGGCACTTTGAGAAGTCTTCGAATGAGACTCCACAGATGATAGGGACTGCGTCGAGTCGTCCAACGCATTTTTGACATGTGCACCTTCAGTCTCTTTCAAGCTCAAGTCTTGCATCTCGAGTTGCTTTATGTCTAGCCTTCCCCGCTGGGAGCCACGGTAGAACTGCGAAAGAGAGACTGTGGGAAGAGACTGCGTGGAATCATCCAATGTGCTCAGAAAAGGTGGCTCATCTTGAGTCTCCTCAGTAGCAAAGCTCTCTTGGGTCTCTGGTTTCTTCGCGTTTCGCCTTCCCCGCTGAGAACTCCGAGAGGTGAGCGAATGAGCCTCCGTTTGAGGCGGATTTGTAGAGTCATCCAGCACGCTGTGAACAAATGGTTCGTCTTTCTTTTGCAAATGTTTTGCTCCTCTTTTAGGTTTAGATGTCCGTGGGCTCTGGGACAATTCAACGCATTCCGAAGAGTCATCCATTGCTGCCACATCGCTAGCCACCTCCTCTCGTTCTGAACGTGTTTTTGCGCTACTTTTTACACGTTGAGGTCTTGCATATTGGGATGGCTCTTGAGTGCTTTCGGCTGTTGGGCCTTCTGAAACAGCCTGGTCTGCCTGTACCTTTTCTTGCTGTAATGACAACCTTGCATTTCTTGCGTTGCGTGGGGCAGAAGCCCTTGGCAGAGCTTCCGATTCAGAAAGCAAGGTTTCACTGGAATTCAACGGTGTTTCGTGAATGCTTTCTGTGTCCTGTGCTGAAAGGTGCTCTGTGTCAGATTCTGAATTAGCCTCCTCACCGCACCGTTTAGCATTCAGCTGCAGCGACCGTTTTGTGCCTCGCCGGGTAGCTCTGGACACCTCGGTACTCGGGATAGCTTTTCTTCGCAATGATGGTGAACACTCTGAAGCTTCTGACAGCGTTCCTTCAATGCATTCTGTCTCCTGTTCCGAAAGGTCGTTTGTGTTGCGCTCCCCTTCGGATAGCTCTATGTCTTCAGTGACTTTAAAGGGGGCAGTGATGCTGGGCATTGCTTTTACGTTAACTGCACTACGAAATGAACGTCCACACATGGTCCTGCTCGACTGCTGCGATGCAGCTGAGTGTGCAGCTCCTAGTTGTTCAGTGCCGCTCAGACGGTCTTCTGCAAAGGTTGGGTCAGTCTCACCTTCAGATTGCTTCACATATTCAACAGTCTTGTCGCTAACGCTGGGTCCTGCTTTCCTACCAACCTCATGGCGAAATGGACGTCCACGCCTAGCTATGTCAGACACTTGTGGTGTAGCCGATTGTTCTGCCTCCGATTGCTGAATGCTGCTTATACAGTCTTCTGCAGTGTCTTGCTCGGTCTTGCCTTCAGATTCCCCTACGTCTTCAGTGATTTTTGGGACCATATCCGCAACACTGGGTACTGCCTTCCTGCCAGCAGCAGTGCGGTACGGATGTCCGCGCTTGGCTCTATTTGAGGGCTGTGGCAAAGCTGGCTGTGGCGCCTTTGGTTGCTCGACACTGCTTGCAGGGTCTTTCGCAACTGGCTCAGCTTCTGCGAGCAGTTCTTTTCGTGCACCTCGAGTGGCCTTGCGACGCGTTGTAGGCAATTCCTCGTCTACTTCTGGTGCTTTACGATTTCTTGTGGCAACTCCTTCCTTTGGTTGTTTAGATCGCAAAGCTCGAGGGGGCTCTTTGACTTCAGGTTCTGGTTCCAACACTGAAGGAACTGTAGCTTTGCTTTCGGAGGCTGGCTCGGCTGCAGTGTTTTCCACCTCTTCAGCGGGCTCGTTTTTTTCGTCTTGGGCTTCAGTATCTCTAATGTACGGCTGACATTCTGCCATCACTTCCGAAAAGCTTGGGAACGGTTCGGAGAAGCAGGTGTCAATAGTTGCATTTGTGCAGTTCACGTCACAGTCTCCTAAAGAGGGTGTAAGCGAGGCAGTGATCGTCGGATCCACATCTTCCTGGTGACCTGATGGTCCTGCCTTCGGCTGGCACTCTTTGTTACTGTCAACTTGAGTGCTGTCACCGGCCTCTGCCTTGCCCTCAGTATTATCCTCACCAGGCTTCACCGAAGGATTGTTATTGTTGCCTCCGTCAGAGCTGGAGGCAACTTCTGGTTCTTTTGCACTGGGCAGAGATTCACTGGGATGATGGGGAGCAACTTCCAGTTCGTCCTCCTTTGCAGCAGCTTTGCCCCTTGCCCCTCTTCTTGTTTTGGGCCTGCCTGCTTTCTCGTGTGGCTCTTTCGCAGATTCATTTTCACAAAAGCTTTGTTTGTCGTTGATCTCCTGTGAAAGTTCACCCTCCTTGAAAGCACCTGATGCGGAAGTTCTTTTCTCCAAGGACAAGAGGGACTTCATTCTCAAGCCAGCATTCTGACGCCCGCTGCTCCTTCGTGCCGGCACAGTATTGTTCTCCACAGGGGCTTTTTTGCATCATTTGCGAATGCCGCTTTCCTTGTGCACCGTTTTGCTCTTGCCGGTGGCTTTTTCTTTCCCCCTTTTCGGGTAGCTCTGCCACTTTCCACTTCACTTTTGGAAGAGTCGTTTGCAGACTCATCGTTTTCAATAGCCTGCTCTTCTTCCTCGCAGGCTTGTTCAGGAACTGTCTGAATGTCAGCCAACCCTTCCTCCCTTGGAGAAGCTTTGCTAGTTTTCTTGTTTTCAAAAGAAGGATTTGCAGAGTCATGTTTTTCGAATGTCTCTTCTTGTTCATTCTTAGAACCATCTTTAGACACTGTCCTGCCATCAGATGGCCTACCAGTAGTTGCTGTTATTTCACTGCTTTCACAAGCTTTGGTAGGCTCTTTTTCTTCCACGGAAGTATCACAAGCAGTACTATCTTCCTTTTCAGTAGCATTTATATCAAGGTCCATGTCTTCGCTCATGTGCAATAATAAGGGCATCTCGCTGTATTCAGCACTTGTGCTCTTGTTAGCATCTATGCTCTCTTGTGGCTTCACAGGTATGTTAGGGGAACTACCAGAGGCTGCAAAGTGCCCGTCTGTACGTTCAACACCGCTCACCAGGGGCTCTGCTAGTGGTGCGTCTGCAGCCCCCGAGTCGAGATCGTTGTCTTTTCCCTCTTCTGTGACATAAGCAAGCTTCCTGGATGCCTTTGATTGTGAGGAGCCTTGCTCCTGCTGCATCCAATCCTCACCTGCGGGGCTATCTTGACTGGGAAGCTCTGGAACAGTGTCGCAAGTGGGTTTCTTGAGACTCAACCCCCTCCTCTGCCGTCTATTTGACACTATTCCGATGACTGGCGAAGAGACACCGTTGCCAGGTGTCACGCAGTCCTCATAGACTGTCGCACTCGTCGCGTCAAGGAGGGGCAGCGAATGCCGAGCTGTGACCATGCTCGTGTCGCCATCGTCTTCAGGATCGCTCTCTGGCACAACACCAGGGGAAGCTGGTGGCGTCTCATCTACAGTAGTTTTTGGAGACAGCGGAGGGGTCTTGTCATCTTCCACTGCTGGTCCCCTCTCTCGCCTGTGCTTCAGCAGGGCATGGACTTTCAGGGGCGGGGATTCCTCCTTCTGCGTTGGCGCGCAGAATTCGTCGTCGTCCTCCTCCTCCTCCTTCTCCTCCTGGCACGGCTGGGATGCTTCGCACAGAACAAAACTGAGCTCGGATGGGCCTGTCAGAAGGCGGCGATGTCTTTCCACCCCTTGCGAGGGAGGGCATACAGAGTCTTTCCCCATGTCATCCTCCTCCTCGTTGAATGAATGGGTAATGTCATTCAGTCGCTCGTGTTCATTCTGGCTAACGTCCGCTGTTGTGTATGGCTGCGTCACTGCATTCAACCTTCCTTCATCATCGTTGACACTTCGTGTATATGGCTGCGTCACCGCATTCAACTTGTCTTCTTCGTCGCACTTGTCCGTTGCATATGGTTGTGTCACGGCGTTCAGTCTTTCTTCATCATCCATGCTGTCATTTGCCGTGTAAGGCTGTGTTGCCGCATTAAGCCTCTCAACATCATCCTGGTCCGTGTATGCCTGTGTCGGCGCGTTGAGACGCTCGGCCTCTGCGGATTCGTGGTCTCCATACGCTTGCGTTGGAGCGTTGAGCCGCTCCATTTCGTCCGCCGCCGCATCGACACCTTCACCAACACTTGAAAGTAAAGACACTTCTGGACATTCAGCATAAGGTTGAGTTTCTGCATTCAACCGACTTTCTTCATCCGCTGCTGCGAACTTGCGAGTGTCTCTGGAATTCTGCTCACCGGCGTCGTCGGAGTACAGCTGCATCGAGGTACAGGTACGTGAATCTTTTGCCGAGGGTGTGTCATCACTTGCAGGTACTTTGGCTGCTTGAACAACCATTCCAGCGCCTTCCTGGCTCCTCTCAGTTTCGTGGCCTGCTCCCATGTAAGGCTCAGTCCCTTGCTCGCTGTCGGTCTGGGTGTAGTCCAAGTTGGGCATCTCTGGCAGGTTGAAGCTGCCGCTTGACTGATGCTCGTTGCGGTAGGTCTTTGAGTCTTGCGACTGTGCAGGTACGAAAGGACGAAAGAAATTATTTCAGGCTCTCACACACATGGCTCGTTTAAAATTTTTAGGCGCCACTATTACATTGCGCAGAGAAATTACAGGAGATGCATTGATATCGCTTCTCTTTTACTCGCCAATTGAACTTTGCAAGAACACCTAAAGACCATATGAAACAACAAAACTGCACGGCATCTTGTTCTGGATTACCGTTTATTTAGTCAGTGCGCTCTCAAATATTTGCGGGTGCAAGATAGAAACTTACATGTGCCCCTAGGTTGAGAATTAGAAATGAACAGTGAAAACAAGTAAAGTATGTCTTCTTACATTGGGACATCTACTCTGCTGGCAGTGAATTTACTTCCGTGACCCTGTTTTCCTGGCTTTATCATCACTTCTGGTGCGCCTAGATTGCACGCATATACAGAGCAGTTACCTAGACAAGTCGTATCTACGCAGAGTAGCCTCAGCTAGTTGGAAAGCCCGTCTTTGAGAGGTGGACTACAGTGAAATGCTGCTACAGTGACTGTGAATTAAACACACGCCCCAGCACTTAGCATTTTTACGTCACGGCCACTAAAGCCGCCTTGACCAGTTGGAACTGCCGGTGTCGATTAGTGCGGCAAAGTTTCTAACAATGGCGAAAAAGCAGGCTACACAAATACACCTCATGTAGGTAAATTGGTTGACACTTACTTTCTCTGCAGCCTGTTGGTCCGAAACATCCACACTGGTTGCCACTGCATCTGCTGCCCCTACGTCATGCTCCGACGCCGCAGAAGGAAGATACAACTTTTCATTGGTGTCGGAGCCCGCCAGTGTTTTGATGTCAACGCCCTCCTGGTCCTAGAAAAAGGAGTTGTGATTGTGATAAGGATATACCATGAGAATCTCTTGGCACAGTTTGTCGTAATGAGTTCCTCAGAACATGATTTGATTTGTTTTTTGAACTAACTCTTCAGAAAAAGGATTAATGTTTATACAGTTAATGTATTTGCATTTTCATTTGATTATCTTCAGTAATTTGCCTGTGGAAGTGCAATATTAATCCTCTGAAGTTCATTTCTGGGCCTTCCAACAACGAAATATAGCAATAGTGGCGTGTGGTCACTGCTTGACGAGCTCTTCCGTGGTCGATTCATGCGGGCACGCCGTCACCGCATTACGCATCGGCTCTAACAGAGTATTGCAGAACCTCGTTGATACGATCCCGCTTATTACCATTTCCAGGCTCCTACGCTCAAAATCGCAGAAACTAGAAATGCCCCCGAAAAGCAATGTGTTAATATGTTCCACTTAATACGTTCCCGGAAAATACGATTATTCGGCAGCAACGTTCGGCATTGCGGCAAACTGTGGTCATATGACACGTTCTGCGGGCAAAAATGTGAAGGGGCAAGACTGCCGCCGCACGCCAATTTTTGTTGCACGTGTGTGCACGCAGGCGCGTGCGCAGACACACACACACACACACACATTGGTTGGAGTTGTCAAAGTCTTCAAATGGTTTTTAAAAAAATGCCTGTTATTTTCTGCAGCACAGTGGTTTTCTTTTTCAGCTGGCACCTTGGCAAGAAATTTAGGGATACGTATTTACTCGCACAATCCTCACACTCTTTTTTTTTTCCATAAAAAATTGACGAAAAGTTGGGGGTAGAAAAACGTACAGAGGGGAAAAAAAAGTGGCCGTAAATTGAGATTCTCACAGTGACAACCAACTAAACTCTTTGAGAAGCACTAATCAAGTTATACCTTAACAATAAAACCACAGGTTCAACACAAGACGATTTATTTGAGGCACAAGAGAGTTTCCAAATACCGTACACAAAGCTTGCAGGCGTAGGGCTAGCATACAACATCAACCTTGGGCTGACGACCATCTAACACAGAGTCATCTGCAGTTATCTTCTGTCAAAACAAAATTTTACCATGCAAGGCACACGGAAGGCCCAGCGCATCTTGGTGGCTTTCAGCTGCCCGTGCTGCCGTCACCAGTAGTGAACACAAAAATCGCAGACACCGAAGTGCCTACTGGCGGCACTTCGGTGTCTTGCCAAGAAGATCATTGTGGAGGTGATGTGGGGCGACGCAGCGAAGGAGGTTGGGGGACAAGGTACTAAAAGACAGCGGCGAGAATGAAAGCGCGTGCTAACTGGCTAACCTTCGCCAAAGCCCTTGCTAGACTGGAAGCTTTATAAAGCTTCTTCACCATCAAAAAAAAAGAGCTGGACAACGGCCTACGATGTGTGCAGAAGGATCGCAAGAAGACTAGAAGCGAGATGCAAAACACTAAGCGTTCATGGCGGAGATGAAAGTGATAGAGGGCGCATGAAACCGCAATGGTTTCACTTACACACAGCCTCTTCAACAGGCGCAGGTACGGACGTGTCCCAGGCGCCGAGGGCACCAATGATGACGGCATCGACAGTGACGCGTGGATACAGACGTCTGAGAAAAGTGGCCACCGGTTCGTAGTGGGAGAGCTTGGCATTGCGACAGTTACGAATGCGTCCAGGGTATCCTCAAACAAGCCTGTGACGTAGAGGATAATGGCCTCTTTGCTGCGCACCAAGACGAGGTCCAGATAAAGGCCCATATCTCCGACAGCCCGATTCTCAAACGTCACCATAAAGTCGCGGGAGGCGGTGCGGTTAAGGATGGTGTTGTGGCGGGCGTGGTACTGGACATTATGAGGCATGCAGTGGTAGACATGGGGCAGGGTCAACCATGGACAGCCACAAATACAGCAACGCTGATCACGATCCCGAGGCCCCCACATGGCAGCGCTGTTGAGATGCAGTAAGTTAAGCCGTGCCCGATAAACAAAGCGCCCGTCTGCAAAGGTGGTGAAGGCACCAGTGTGCGTGAAATGCGAGCCAGCCCAATCGGCTGCCACGCAGGCAAGCACATTCCCCTGGTTGGGGAGATCGTGGAGGGCGCGGTCGCGGGCTGTAGCCAGGACCCCTCGAAGCGACTGCACGACACAGCACCGGTGTTGCAGCGTGATCGTCACGTTCCCGCATGTGATGCGAACGCCGGCTAGGTCGAGGCTTTAGGGGACGTTGTCGGGGCGGAACGCCTTGCAGGCAGTTAGTCCATACATAAGTCAACTGGGTGGCTGGAACGCACTATCAGTCCTCGATTTTAGTGCAGCATGGCGCAATTTCAGCAAATTTGACGGTTCTGACGCAGCTGGCACAAAGATGGCGAATTGTATCAAATTTGCACAATTAGCGCAGCTGTTGCACACCTATACTGTATGTCATGACAGACTACTAGCACAAGTTTGAGATAGCCACTTCACATGTACTGCAGGAATATCTATAAAAAAAAAAGACACGTAACAAAATCGAAATAATGAAATTTTACCAGGGCGACTTCAATTGCTGTTAGCAAGGACTCAGAGCATGTGTCGGAACCAGTGTCGTTGTTGGTACCCTAGGAATAAAGAAAAACATGCGAATGAAGTGCACGGATAAAAAGCAGGTCAGTTCAGCGAAGCAACAAATTTACCTCTTTTGAGGACAGTCTTTTTTTTTGTGAAATGTGTTAAAAAAGATGTTTTTTTGTGCGCTATAAAACTTCAGTATGACATACCAACATGCCCAAAACACCGCGTTATAATGTATTGGACAGGAAAAACGTGGGAACGTGTGAGAAAGGGGATTATAATACACAGGCACCTATAGATTTTCTTTCTATTCACCGCGACAACTTTTCTCGACAGCACTGCAGCAGCTAGAGAACCAAAGTGCATGCCTCCTACAGCACCATCAAATAGTACTTAAGCTTACAAAATTTTTTCATTTGCCGTGCTGAAATCAATGCTGTTTTATATATACCGCAAGACTCAGTTATGGCAAATTGTAAGTAAAATGCAGTTATTGTTCACTTTGCTAGAATATCTTTTTCTTTCCATTTTTTGGAGAGGACTCCACGTTTTCAATACACCCATCTTCCAACGTAAACATGGTGTCCGTAACGTAGCGGGTGAATGTGCGGCCGCAAACGCAATGTTTATTTGAAAAAAAAAAAAGGGCACTCCTAATACGACACTGAAGCGTACACTGTACCATTCGAATGTTTCTCCCACCTACATTTGTCGTATATATAATTTTCTGTACGTGCCAACGATACGAGTGAGTGAAACCGAAATCATCCAAACAGCTGCCGTACTAATTGCGGAGCAATACAGATGTGTGGAAGCCCTGCAACCGTAACCTTCGCTCAAATGGCAAATGGCAAGATAAGCTGTCGGCGAGCATAGGACTCTATGCCAGAAATGTTATATGCAGACATATTAACGAGGAACATCGAAATCGGCTTCTACGTTCCACACACAGTTAAATCTTGTTAAAGGGACACTAAATAGCATCAATGACTTGGTTTAGATTGACAAATTGCTCTCCGAGAACTCTAATGCAGTATGCTTCACTATCATAACTTCACTATTAGCAAAGAAAATCAAGGTTGAAGTTTCATTGTCGAATTTCGCACTGCAATCTCTGCACTTGATGTCAGAAGTTTCAAAATGAATTTTTTATTTTCGCAACATTGGCTTGATGAAATTTTTCGAATCTCCCTACGCTACGCCTGTGGCACCCAATTATGACAATGTACCTAATTTTTATCGATTAGAAACTACGTGGGATCCAGTAATCACCTTCAAAATTTTCTACGTCACAGTGTTTAGCGTGTGAATTTCAAGGTGGCGTTCTAGCCACCCACATTATATTCTCACGCAATTCCTTGCTTGCCAAGTGTTGTGTTGCAGTAAGGGTAGGGTTTTCGGGATTGCAAGATCTTACTTTACTATTATGCGAAAAAAATAATTTTGTTCTTTAGTCCCACTGAACAGATCTCGAGGGAGCCATATGTTCTGTCAACAGAATTGCCATTCACTGAGCAAAGTAAAGAAACGGAGAATCCAAGTACAGTGAAAGCTCGTTAATTCACACCTCATTAATTCGAAATTTTGGATAATTCGAAATGGTCGCCGCAGTCCGGTCCGCAGTGCATAGGAGACCATGTGTAAAACGATTAGTTAATTCGAACAGAAATTGCTGCCTCTATGGATAATTCGAAGCACGCGCCGCCGAGCGTCATCATCGTCAAACACTAGTGGAAGCTTTTACGGTCGAACGATAGGTGGCACGACCAGTTTTTTCGAGCTTCAAGTGGCCTCCGAGCAAAGGGCGAGCAAAGTATGGCCTCCAAAATCCAGGGAGCAATTTTTTTTTTTACGTAGCCCTCCCGCTATCTCAGCGCCTGGCGCCACTTGTACGCGGGACCCACGGGACGCTGAGGAGTCGGCGGAGTAGTCCTAGCAGTCCTAGGCCGCTCCCGGCAGCGTCACTTTGTTCCTCGAGCACGTTGTTCGTTCACGCCGTCAAGCCGTCTTATTCCGCATCGAAGTTGCAAGATGCCGCGGGGAAACTACTGCATGAAGACTGTCAAAGAGAAGGTGGAGATTTTGCGAAAGGTTGACCAAGGGAACTCGAGCAAATACGAAATTGCGAGGAAGCACGGCACGTTGTCAACCTACATATGCAACAGAATGGCCATTGAAAACGCCTATGAAGCCGAAGATTTTGGCGCCAGTCGAAAAAGGCTAAGTTCCCGGAACTGGAGCCAGCTTTGATATCTGGGTTAAAGAAATGAGAGCCCAGAGTATCGCATTGAGTGGCCCTATCATCGTGGCCAAGGCAGCCGATTTCGCCCTGCGCTTGGACATTGAAGACTTTGTCGCCTCCGAGGGATGGTTTCATCGTTTCAGGGAGCGGCACAATCCCGTATTCCGCACGTTATTCGGTGAGGCAAAGGAAGTGGACGCCGAAACATACGCTACTTGGAGAAGCGACACCCTGCAGCAGTACTTGGAGAGCTACTCACCACAGGATGTGTTTAACGCTGACGAGACAGCGTTATTTTTCAAGTTGCAGCCAGACAAGATGATCACCTACAAGGGAGACAGCTGTGCCGGCGGCAAGTGCAGCAAAGAGCGTGTCACTGTTCTGGTCGCCGCAAATATGACCGGTACGGAAAAGGTCCCCCTTTTTGTGATTGGCAAAGCACTCAAGCCACGGTGCTTCAAAAACATTCGCTCACTGCTGACGAAGTACGCCGCAAACAAGAAAGCCTGGATGACAGGTGACCTATTCAGGAAGTGGCTACTGAAATTCGACAGGCCAATGGAACTGGGCGGCAGACGCGTTCTTCTTGTCGTCGACAACTGTTCGGCGCACAAAGTCGACGTTGAGCTGAGAGCAACCAAGTTGGTGTTCCTTCCGGCAAATATGACTGCGGCCCTACAGCCAATGGACCAGGGTGTGATAAGAAACATTAAGTGCTGTTATAGGCGTCACGTGCTGGAGAGAATGATTTTGTGCGTGGGCGACGGGAAGGACTTCGGCATTACGCTGCTCACTGCCATGCACATGTTGGTGCGCGCATGGGAACAGGCGACCGCGACCACAATCGCAAACTGTTTCCGCCACAGAGGATTTGCAGCTGGAAGTGCGCAAGATAGTTGTGACGTTGACGTGGATGGCGCTGAGGAGCTCATGCCAGTGGCATTGCGCGACACTCTTCGGGGCGTACGTTTTGCCGATTATGTTGAAGTTGACACCAGTGCATCGGTGTGTGGTGCCCTGACTGATGAGGACATTATCGCTCAAGTAGCCGGTGCGCAACCTGATGCTGAAGAGCCAGAAGGTGAGGAAGACGAAAATGACGAAGCGCCTGTGCGCCCGTCAGCTTCTGTGGTGATGGCGGCACTTAATGTGGCGCGTTTCTTCTTCAGCTTTGAAGAAGGTGAAGAGCATTCCCTGCGCCGCGTCCGCGCGCTAGAACAGAGCTGCAGCTGTGGCATTCAGAGAAAAGAAGCAGATGGTCACCACCGACTTTTTTGGCCAATAAATATTTTTCGTGCCCCCACCCCCGAAATCCACCCATTTTTGCTCACTTTCATTATTTTGAATTTTGTTTAATTCGAAACTGCTCAGCGTTCACGGGGAATTAGAATTAATGAGCTTTTACTGTACAAAAAAAATTGGAGTAGAGGTATATATTTCATTCAAACAGCTATTTCGTTTGAGAGATTTCTGTTAGCCAAGAGTCTACTGTATTGTTAAGGAAAAAAACCATTTCTCAGGCCATCACAACACTGACCATTTTTTTAATTCCAGATACTGCTTTTCAACCTTGCTTTTTGTGGGTACGGCAGTGTGGTTAGCATCGTGAAATTGACGATTAATGCAGAAAAGTCCATTGTGTACCTTGAAACCACAGTGAAATCTCGATACAATGAATCTCAAGAAACCGCTAAAAATCATTTGTTATTTTGAGAAGCCGTTGTAGCGAAAGCATTAAAAATTTGCGCAAAAATCGTGAACTCAAACACTTGAGTTGCCTACCTGTGCTGTGTATACATTCGCGACAGTGTTATGCTCAAATAAGCGCGAAAGAACAAACACTAAATATTATAAATCAGTGCACATTTACTTGAGAAAAAGTGGGAATTATCCTGACATGGGAAATTCGACGGTTGAAAGACGAACTCTTAAGCGTGCGCATCCTTCTTACGTGCTGAAAAGCGCCAGCGTTAAATACCAATTCTTCACGTTGGTTCGCGCACGATGTTTCAAATCGTCTTCGTTCCTCGTCACGACTAACGGTACGAAACGCATCGGTCGTCAGTTAAACTCACGGGCATTGCCTTCGCCGTCGCACTGTGTGTAGTGTAGTGTGCACTGTGCGTAGAGCGATGCACGGGTAATCATTGGAGACTTAATCCCATAGGTCACTCGCGCTGCATTTATCACTGTCGTAGCATTGCTTTTGAGCTGCTTCTGGAGCTTCCTCTTGAACCTTCAGCCGCGAACTTAAAACGCTTCGAAAACAGTCGTGGAACAAGCGTGCAGGTCAAGCTGTCCGACGAAAACAAAAGCAACGAAGCGAAGCCTGACACGAAAAAAACAAGTACCAGGCGATTGTGATGGCAATAGGGCTATTGCACATTCGAACAGGGCGGGCAGATAGAGAAATACGCGGGCGCTCTGATGATGGTAGTGGCACTTGTAGAGCTAGGGCATTATTTTTACAGCCACGAGTAACTTTTTAAAATTGCTATTCATTATTTTAAAGCGTTGGGGGATAAAGCTTGATTAAGTATTCTGAAACATTCGGTATTCTGAAATTCGTAGTGATGAAATATTTTTACATCTAACCAATGGACATTTTCGGTAATCTGAAAAAATCATTATACTGAGGTTCACTATAACAAGATTTGACTTTACAGATAACTGTGTAAATGCAATTCTCACATTGTTTTGGTCGCACAGGACGCGGGCCCTGAGACCGGCTATGGTAAATTCCTCGCCGTAGTCGAGGTTGTACTGACAGTTTGGCTTTAGGGTTCGCTGCAAAACAAACAGAGTTAACAAACAAATTAAGACATCAGTGAAGCTCTTAAGAGGATGGGCACAGTGCATGAACTTTTAAACGCAAGAAGTCTTCTTCAAAGCCTCGCTAGTCAAGTGGACAAGATTCATACATAACAAGAATGGCTGCTCCAATATCAGCTTGTGCATACTGATGAACTGAATGAAGATGCATGGGTTGAAGTCGCTGCCCTTTTGCCTAAACAATAACTGAAGGACATTAAATAATTAAAGGACACTCAAACTTCGTTATAACAAACTTGCACCTTATACGAAAATAAGCTCGTTATATCCGAAAATCCCTCATAAAGGTGGATTCCGAACGCTACAGTCCGTTGCACTGAACATTTCATTACTAAGCTATAACCGATATTTCTTTATATATGGGTCCGTTATATCAAAGATTGGGTGTATTCCTCACTGATCTTCGTACTGCAAGTTATGTATAAATCTTTCGGCCTTGCTGCTCAGCATTAATGGCGCAGCTCAGCGAAAACTCAAGATATAAGCACGTACAAGGTACACATAATGTGCAGTGTTTCGATTAGACTAGCGGCAAACATTGACAAGGTACTTATTCATAGCAACATTATGTTGCACTGTTTCATTGCTCCTAGCAACATTGTACATCACGAAAGCTTTTTATAGCTGCCACATAGGCGGGTTTTATTTTTTTAAGTGAGCTAGACACAAAGTACATACCGGAAACCTCAGCAAAAATGTTCACACTGACTCTAAATCCAATAACTGCACAAAACTCGCAGAGGAATGCAAAGTTGATACTACTCTCAGTCGTATGCTTTTCATGGCATTAAAGATGCAAGAGACGCTATAAAACCCAGGTTTTCAATAAATAAACAGTTAAAATTCATGTCCTGGGGATGAGTGAAACGGGCACTGCAATAGACCCTTTTCAATATTGTAAAGTTGGCTTTCTTGCTGTGTAATTTGAACTAATGTTGGCTTGTCATTTATAGCAAATAGCCTGTCAAGCGCGTTTCATTTATGCAATGACGTGGAAAATGTCGAGTCACCTCTCTTGATATGAACACTCATGACAGAGAAGCCCCAGCACAATTGACCAGGGCCGCGTGTCCGCTTGAACAGAACAGGTGCCCCCATTTTTCGTTCAAATATGCAGTGCACAGAAGCGCGCTAGCAAATTATGAAAAGGGTCCATCAGAAGAAAAAAGGAAAAAAAAAATCAAAATTATTTTTTCGCCAAGCTTACTTTGCCAATCTTGACTTTATTCTGACTGCCGAGGTCCATGATTGTGCAGCTGCGGCCCCCGACATTGATGACAGCGTGCTGCTTTGACACAGCCTGCAACAGGGTGGTAGCAAGGACATCAAGCAACTGCATCACGAAGGTGTTAAGGCCAACAGAATAAAACGGCAACTCACATAGTTCTCAATGATGACATCACAGGTTCGGGAACGGCCGACCATATTGGGCCCTGGAACGAAGCAAACCCAAGCAACCTCATGATAACGAACTGAGCACACTAAAAAATCGGGGGCCCTTGCCCAGTCAGGAAAAATCGAGGACAAGTGCAGCCTGACGTGTGCATGCCAAAACTTACTACAGTCCTATCCCAGATATATAGAATTATTGGCTATATCCAACAGTTGAGAAATTTCCTTGAGTTTCCTTCCTACGCAGAAGTGTGAACTGGTGCACAGGTATATCGAACTACCTCTATATAGAATGCTGAGCCGCGCCGAAGCCCAGAAATTGCATTTTTTTAATGAATAGTGATCAATTTTTGGCCGCGTTCTAACAAGTTCTGACCTCTTTTTGCGCATATGTGACGAAAAGGCAGTGTTGAAAAGTGAGAAGGCAAAACTCTGCTTGTTGTGCAGTGTTTGCGAGTGCACCGGTATGCTTGGTGTGCGATCTGCAAGTTCTAATGCACAGGCATGGTGTTCTCCAAAAAGACCGATTGCCGAGGGCACCAAAATGAAGTGATTTGGCGATCTCTTTGCTTAGCATTGCCTCGTGCACGATGGCATGCGGGACCAAAAGCATGGCCTTCCAATGTACCACCCCGTGAGGCATTGTGGCGTTTTTGGTTTTAGGAAACACGTCACGGAGGCTACGCTTCTCTTCTAGTTTTCCATGCCAAACCAGCGCTGCCTGCTGCAAAACAACAAAGCCAGATGTAATATCGCTGTCACCAATATGCGGAGGGCGGTTGCTTGCTCATTTTTTCAGAACAACAGTTTTTCTTGGGATACTTGAACGCAGAAATTTAGGTCTGTCTGTTGCACGATTCAGCCACCCAGCCAAAGTTTATGCCCAGCCATCTTGAACCGGTGGCTGCATTCATTCTTGTGAACATTGTCGATCAAACGCAAATATTTCGCATATCTGAGGTGCGACATCAATACGTAAGTATTAAGCGGTGTGTTCCTTTACAGGAGCATTGCGGTGTGTTCCTTTACAGGAGCATTAAGTGGTGTGTTCCTTAACAGGAACTCTAATAGACCCTAGTGTTTCTTAAGCTGCACTGAAAATGAAACACCATGCACGAAAAAGCGCTCTCGATGATACAGTGCTGCCACCTGACAGCAGCCCTGGGTTCTGGCCCTGGATCAGAAGCTACGTAGGACCCAGAAGACTCCTTCAAAACCAACGACTTCACAGATTTTGGTGCAGGTTCCCAATGTGGCGTCTCCACCCGCATTTTCTCTCTTATTAAGCGTCATGTCCTGGTGAGTGGGGTTTTCAGGATTGTGAAATAATGCTTTACTAATGCACGAAAAATTGTTTTGCTTTCTAGTGCCCCATTAAGGAGAAACAAGAGTGCAGAAAGAGGATGCAGGAAAACTCAACAGACAGACCACTCCACCTGCGATAGCCTCTTACATCACTAAGTTGCGTTTTGTTACCCTTTGTATTACAATATAAAGCCCACTTCTGCATCCTCCTGCACCAAGGTGACCTTTTAGGCATGTTGGTAAGACATGATAGAAACGATGAAAACATCCGTAAGAAGCGATTGCTTGCTTGAGCCGACTTGTCTTCAAGCGTTGAAGAGGAGTTCACCCGTCGAAACGTCAGCTCGGGTACAAAGCTCCTGTTTACAAATTTTTCTATCATTGCCTTCTTTCTTCTCCTTCCTGCGATTTTTCGCATCATAGAAAAAAAGCACAGAAGACGATAATTATAATTGATGGGGTTTAAGATTCTAAAACCACGATACAATTATGATATGCGCCGTAGTGGAAGGCTCTGGAAATTTCGGCCACCTGGGGTTCTTTAACGTGCATCTAAGTACACGGGCCTCGAGCGTATCCGCCTCCATAGGAAATGCGGCCGCCGAGCTCGGGATTCGATCCCGCAACCTGCGCGTCAGCAGTCGGGAACTGTAACCACTAGATCACCGCAGTGCGCATACAAAAGACAAGGAGCGAGAAGAAGATTGGGGCAAGCAAGCACCAACTTTGCAACCATATTTTATCGTAAGAGTGATCGACTATTCTGACAAATTGTTGTCCCCCAACTTGTCAATCACTACTGCTCCAGTGATCTCGCTAGTTGACCAAGCACTACTTTTGCAGATCGTTGAGCAGGCATCATATAGAAGACAACACGTGGGTATTTGCCACATGCGGCTGCTTGTTTTTAAATAATATGCAAGTCAGCGCTCATGTGTCGCATGCCTCTTCTCCGACTTCTTAATTTTACATTGTTTCAGTTCATACTCTCCCACAAACCTGTCAGTACACCCAAAAAGGTTTATCTAAACACTGCGAGCAAAAGCGCAATAGTCCAAGTACTTGTACAAAAAGTTGGGAGTTACCTGGCTTCAGGTTGAAAGTCTGAAATGCAGCAGGTGCGTCTTGATCGTGTAGCTTCAGCACGGCCCGTATCTGAAATGGGGGCAACGGATCTTAGAAGGGTGGCATTTCTGACGTGCACTGAAGTTATTATGGTTGAACTTTACTGATATATTGAATCACTGATATATTGAATTATCGGTTATCGCAAACTAAATACAAGCTTTGGTTGGTCACAATTGATTGCAGAGGAACTTGCTCTTTTCATAAAAGAACTGGAAACGCGAGTCTCCGTGATGTTGGCTATCGCAGAAATATATAGCTCGCGTTAGGCTCGGCATTCCAGGGAGGAATTTTTAAAAAGGCATTACAAATATTGAAAGAGATTTTAAAACCACATCTTTCTCGAAGATGGAGTTGTAACATAAAAGGGTTTTGTTGAAATCGTTTAAATTGCTGAAATTTAGGCAGAAATGAGTAGGGCAGATGCCGTGGACATGGCCGAAAGAATGAAAAGCTACCAATGGCTGATATTGCTGAACTAGAAAAGATCTTGTGCATAGGCACATTGAAAAACTTCCTGCGTCGTGCATGCATATTTTGTACGTAGCATTTTCGTGAGACCTAGACTGCTTATTTATTAGAGCACGTTTTTTGTTAATCTCTACTGTTACAATGAATAAAAAACTAACTTGTTGTCCCAGCACTACATTATAACGAGGTAAGGAGCCTCAATAAATCTCAGTGAAGAGAGGTTGCTTTTGAATGGACAATATGTGGGGTTTTACGCCCTAAAACTACAATATGATTATGAGATACGCTGTAGTGGAGGGCTCCAGAAATTTTGAACATTTGGTGTTCTTTTAAGGTACACTGACATCACACCAGTACATGGGCCCCTACCATTTTGCCTCCATCAAAATGTGACCGCTGCGGCCGAAACTGAACGACGACTTTTCGAGTCAGCAGCTGAGCACTGTGGCTGCCGTTCGTCAGAAGCAGATGCTTTTGAGTTAAGCGCTCGTTGTGGACTGTATTTGACGCAAACATATGGTAATCTCTGGAGCTTTATTTGCCAAAACCACGACATGATATTGAGTCACATGGCAGTGGGGGTCCCCTGCTTCACTTAAACCACCTAGAGGCTCCTTGATGTGCATCTAAATTTACGTACATATATGACCTTTGGCCCCCATCAAAATGAAGCTGGCATGGGCAGGAATGGAACTTGTGCGCTTGAGTGCCCCCTTCCCCCCCCCTGGCTACGCCAGTGGACAGCGTTAATGAACGAAAGACAGCGAGTGTACAAATTGTGGGCAGCCCAGCAAGGGCTGCCCACAATTTGTACACTCGCTGTTTAGTTGAATGACCGCTAAGCTGTGAACGTGTGTATGGACCGAATAAAACAACAGCATAGACAATTCTCTCTTCTGGGGTATGGGTGGCAGCATGCCGTCATGAGAACTGATGGAGTGATGTTATCAGAAATTTGGAATGTAAAATTTATGCAGTCACACACATACAGTACATATGTCCAGAACTTAACGTAGCCAGTAACTGCAGCTGCTTGCGCTTTAGGTGGGCAAGTTTCGGAGGAGAAGTGCATCACAGAAGATGGGGGGGGGGGGGGGCATTTTTTAGCTTGAGGGGGAGGGGGGGCTGCCACTTTTGAGCGAGTGAGCAGACGTAAGATCGCAGTTGTGAACAAGTTTGGATAAAATTAGTCGTGGCGAATTGGCGACAAAGTGATCGAATGCCCTGTTGACACTCATTAAAAACGGAGCGTCAAGCGGCGGCGAGTCACTTTCGAACGAAAGTTTCATTTTTTTCGCGAGATTTCACGAGGCTAGATTAGCCTTTGATAGTGCAACGCCTTGCTGCGAAACGAAGCCTTGAGACGCCGAGAGCGTTCTGGCCTCACAAGTTCGAGATTATCTCGAGAAGGTGTATGGATGTCAGGAACTGATCGCTCGATAACCGTATCGCGCCCTAAACTAGCTCCAGCTGTTCAGCACGAAATAGGAAAAGGAGGATGGGGGAGGGTAAGTCGGGGTTTCTGTCTATTGGTCTGCCATTGTGCAGAGTTTACGAGCGCCCGCTTTATGACCCTTGAACTGACAACTCCCAAACTTTGAAGTTTTAGGGTCGTGAGTGAACCGAAATTACAGCTGTGTTAAAGCGTTAGCGACGTTGTAGGCAACGTGTTTCATTCGACGTGATGTTAGGGGTGATGGCTACTATCGCGCACTGCATAGTTTAGGTCGTTGAAGTACTGCAGTGAAGTAGCTTCACAACGCGACGCTAACTGCATCGGTTTAAGTGCCCATAAGGTACCGTAGCCCGTATGCAGCACGCTACGGTGATCGGCTGAGGAATTGGTGTTGACCCGTCGGCGAAAAACAACAACAGAAAGAAAAACGGACACCGCTCGCTTAAAACGGATCTCGGTGGCGGGAAACAATTGAACACGCACCTCTCGGTCCATGTCGTCATCGGAATCTTCGGGTACGCTGATGACCTGGGTCATCTCCATGTCGTTGAAGTCCATGTTTAACCGCTTCTGGGTCAGGCTTCAAACTGGAGCTCACTACGCATACGGTGACAAATTTAAATGCCGCCAAACAGTAAAAAACGCATTGCCTGAGAGCGCCAGTTCTGCGCGAGGCACGTGAAAACGTCAAAATAACGTTAGTGCGCGAGTGGTCGGCGCGTTGAGACGTGAATCAGCTCGGCAACTGGATTGGTTCCTGGCTGGCCAATGATGGCCAAAAAACTGAGAGGCGTAGTGATACCGCCGTCGATGGCTCTTTAAACCAAAATGGTCGACAAACTCCACGCATTCAAACCGTTATTTTGCCAATATTTGCGCTACCTTTTGGTGAAGAAACAAACTAATATAGTAGATTTGTAATTTCTGTGACTGGCGAGGCGAGGCTGCAAGTTTGGCGAAGTGAGGAGTGGTTTTACACGATAATGTTCACTTCTTTTAAGAATGACATTGTGGCAAAACAACAGCTGGAACTTTTTTCAAAGCACGCTGCCTGAACTCATTTCATGGAAATTATCGCAAAACAAACCGCTCGAACTGAACCAACACACTGAAGCGATGTTGTGTTCTTGTCATTGCTCCCATGTAGCGGGTTGGTTTGCTGACAACCATAGAGTTAATAAACAGATTTTAGAGAAGAAACTGGGCCGGAAAAGCTATAACCGACGGAGGAAGAAAACTCTATGCAAGGAACCCGTGAAGGCATATAGTTTCCCAAAATTAACTAGAAGGCACTCTGGCGCTGCGATCGTTCAGCGACCATGGGAATGATGGGTTTTGAAAGAAAGAACAAATCCTTTTGAACTTAGTGACTTGATTCGAAATGGTAAGCCTAAAATAATGAGGTTGTGAAGCACAAACGGTGAACATTTGCTAGTTTATGTTTTCGTGAAAAAATAGCTTCAAGCCAGACGAACACACACGGAGCCAGAAGCAGGCCAGAAGTCCGAAAATTAGACAAACTCCGTGGACAAACGCACGGAGGAAGGAAAGGTGGCCTTTCCTTCCACCGTGACTCTGGTACTACTATAGAGGCTAGAAAAGTTTTCCTAGTGTCGGGAAGGAGCGCGCCGAAGCAAAATAGTCTGCAATGATGCACAATAGATGGCGCCACGGCTCGCTGGCGCGCGGCTCTCGTGGGCGTCTGCGCGCTTTTGTGAGGCTGTTCACGTGCGAGCATATTTTTTTGGCCGCTCACTACAAGTCCTCCGCAGACACACGAAAAATAATCAAACATGCGATTACATACACTCACGATGGCGACCTTGACAAGCGCACATTACGCGACCACGGCTTGGGTGCGCAAACCTCATCGGGAGGGGTAGTTTGATTGCGGGGATTAACGTGCCGAAACTGCGCCTTCGTGGAGCGCTCCCGGTTAATTTCGACCACCTGGGGATCTTTAACGTGCGCCGAAATCTCGAACACACGGGGGTTGTTCCTTTTCAACTCCCTCAGAAAAGCGGCCGCCGCGACCAGAAATTAAACCCGCGTCCTTGTGCTCAGCAGCACAACGCTTTAGCCGTGCACTAAGCCACTGCAGCAAGTGGAAGGGGCAGTTTTTCCTTTATCGGCCCTGTACGCGTGGTTCCAGCCACCCTGAGTAGTAATTAAAATATTACTACTATTAAGAACATAGCGGAAGCAACGAGTTATGAAATACAGCTGAAGTTTCTAATACAAAAACTACCACACAACAACCCCAAACATAACAGAATTCAAGATTGTCAATGAGCATTTATTGCAGCGTTACAAAATGAAACTTCAAAAATCACACATTTTGAAAATTAACACACATTCCCATCTTTGGGAGCAAAGCAAAAAATAGATACATAATTTAACAAACAGCCACATGTTCGTGCGAAAAACAAAAAATACACACGAGCACAGAACATTTTACACTCCAAAAAAGTATGCACGACGGTGCGTGTACAAGGCTAGGTCACTTTGCTGAACTGCAGGCGTTTTTATTGACATCGCCTCATTTTCAGAAGTTTTTGTGTTTGTCTCTGAGTGCTCCTCTCCAGGTTCTTTGCTTTTGCAAAAAAGTATAATCGGGTCAGGGCATAGAACTTAATTATGTTTCTCGTAACATCCCTTCCGTGTTCGCTGCACCCAACTTCTTTCAGCTGAGCTCCATGCAAAAACTGCAAAAAGTCCATCATGCTTCCAGCATGAAGCTCATTTCTGCTGAAGAACAGAGTAAAGATGTTTTCAAGATTCCCAACGAGCTCCTCGACCGCCTTGGAAGGGTAAACTAACCCAGCATGATCAAATTCTCGCGTAAAAGAAGCATTATCATTGCACTCTGCTTGCACAGGCAAAATACAAAGAGAAGAAGCGCATTCAAGGCATGAAGACGTTTTGAGGGATTTTCTCACAACATAGCCTGCTATGTAAAATATAAGGCGGCTGTCACTGTGCTTTTCAATGCAGCTTTTGTGATCAAGCAGCCCTTGTGTTCGCAACACATATTCTGCACGCTCCAAGTTGCCATCATCCAAAATCTCGTCAATTACTGCTGATATGTGGGCTGACTTTTCTCTACCAAGGTCAGATGGCCCCAAAAGTGCTGTGGCCCCAAAAGTCCTCCGGGCAGACATCCATCTCAACGACTACATCAACGTCGGTGTTGGAAGCACTTCGTTTCGCCGGTGCGGCTTCGGTGTTACCGAAGTCTCTAGCTTTCCTTTTCTTCGGCACCTGCTTCGTGAAATACGAAGGAGCATCAGGAAATATAGTAGGGACGGCGTCCTCTGTAAGCGCTGGACGTTCACGGTCAAGTTGCACAGTTTCTCCATTGATTACGTGCGTAAACTTTTTCCGGATAAATCGTTCATCGAAGTGGCGCGAACAGACAACACAGGTGTTATCCAAAACTTTGTCCTCCCGCTTGATATTTCTTGCCTATTCCTTCAAGCGAGCAAGGTCGGTTGGAGCACGGAACAACGATACCTTTTGTGTTGACGACTTGTATCCACCTTTACAAAGCGGCACGAAACACGTTCTTGCCTTTTTAGATGGCATTATGGCGCACACAACGGTTCAGAACGCTTCCTCACATCGTGTCTTGAGCAAACAGGGAAGAAACAAGGAGCACGCCAACAACGCACGTGCTAACCACACCGAAGAAAGGTACACGTTTACGCGCCCTCGACTGCTGCGCGAGCCGCTGCTGACAGCACGCCACCGACACCCAGCGCCACCACCCGGCCGCTGTTCCACTCATCCAAACTGCTTTCAGCGGCGCCGGGGTAAGAGACGCCCGCTCAGTCCGGACACTAGGAAAACCTTCTAGCCTCTATAGTACTACTCATCATTCCCATGCTCGCTGAAGCGCCGTGTTTTGCAGCTCCCATAGACACTAGCGCCAGAGTTCGCTCTAGTGTATATTGAGAAACTCTATGCGTGATTCAGCAGCGTGGAGGAACCACAAAAACGCTGACATCTTGGAACATTGTCATTGTTGGCATCAGAGTACTTTAGAGAAGCGAAAAAATTGAACGTATAAAACACTCATATTTTTGCATGACAAATTGTAAAAAAGTGTGCTTACGTGCTATAAATTAAAAAAATTGCACAAAATTTATATAAACTGCTTTTAAGAAAGATAAAATGGCTGTTTATTCAATTTGTTGAGCGCAGAAAGGAGCGTTTGCAAGTTTCTTCAATAGATAGCGCCACCTTTCTTGTAACGTTGAGAGCGTGGCAATGCGGCGTGTGGCCGATTGCGCCGACTAGCTTGCACGCCGGTGTCCGTGTTTTTTGTTGCCATGCGACAAAAAAAACTTGACTTCATGTGGCAGTCTGTTATTGCGATGTAACAGAGATCCGCGATGCAGAAAAAATGCCGGGGGAAATTGCAGCATGCAGTGGCGACTGCAAGTGAACGTCACCTCAAAACCGAGTATCGTTCCATCATGGCGGCACCCGATCGGTTATGGGTTTCAAAGCATGAGCTCTTTGGGAACATTGAAGTGTGGCAGCTTCGGCTAGTTGGTATGACATGACGATAGTTATAGCGCGAGAACAGAACGACGACACAGAGACAAGAAGGACACGTGCACTTCATGTCGTTCTTGTCTCTGTGTCGTCGTTCTGTTCTCGCGCCGTATGGGAAGCTTTTCCTCTAGAGTCTGTATATTAACTCTATGCTGCTAACTTTGCAAGATTGGTTGGTGTGTGTGTGAGGGTTTCGGAACGGAATTTCACGACTTATATGAAAGAAAACAGTATTTCTAGTACGACGTCTATGACATATGGCTTCTCTTTTTGGCATGATTTTCTGTTAGATCAAATTAATATTGTGTCTTATAAATAATAAAAAAACAGCTCTTAATTGTACTCCATTCCTTCAATTCGGTACGCGCACAGAACACCTGTATTTTTGCACGTCACAAAGCATAAGCTTTGGGATCAGCAACTGTGAGTCCGTGACTCGGGATACCAGTCACATGGGTGTGCGTTTCGGACCGTTTTGATCAGTCTTGCGAAGCGTTTTGGTGTCTCCATCATTAGATAACGGATTTTAAAGGATATGTAGAAGAAAATAACAGTGATTGACCAAATACATATACAAATCATTATATACCGGTAAAATGAGAGTTCTCAAGGACAGCGTGTTAAATCAGTCATCACGATCATCTCACGTTTCTGTGTTTTGCAACAGTACAAGTGAGAACCTAACAAACTAAACGATGACAACAGAGAGTGCTTGTTATAATGCTCACGCAACACATACGGAATGATATTTTGTTTCCCCTTTTATTTTTTAAGCGCTGTGTATGTCAAGTAACTGGATAAGACGGATGTTCGGGCTAGCTGGTGATTTGGAATTATAAAGTTGATACTGACTCTTGGTTCCATATCCGCGCTTCGGTGGCTATGGCTTTTCTGGCCCAGATTTTCCTCTAGAGTCAGTGTATAAACTCTGTGGCTTCTCCTCTAGAGTCTGTATATTTGCTGTATGTACGGAAAACTTATTCTCACACCGTGGTTTGGAATCCAAATATTTGCACCGAGCAAGAAAACTAGTACTAGTTACAGCGTAAATATATTTGTTTTCTTGCGCTGTGCGAATATCTCGTTTGCCAAGTATTTATTTTGTGAGCACGTGGTTGTTCTGCCATCTGTAAAAC